CACACAACACCTACAACGCACAGAAAACACGCACAACACAGAGCACACATCACGCATACACACACACACACACACACACACACACACACACACACACACACACGCACGCACGCACGCACACACACACACACACACACACACACACACACACACACACACACACACGCACCACACAACACACACACACACACACACACACACACAACGCCCACAATCCTGGGGCCTCCTGGAGCCCCTTCCGGTATCCAAGTCGGGCCCCTTGAAGTTTGGGGGGGGGGGGGGGGGCCTGGCACGCAAATCGCAAGGTGTGGCAACCCCACTTGCGCTCGAGTGCGACCTCGATATTAGATTCTTTTGCGTTCACCTCCTTCCTCTCCCCCTTCTCTCATGCACGCCCTGGCGGCGCCGCCCCAGCTTCCCCCTGTCCATATCCGACCCTGCTGCCACGGTGTCACCCTGCTTCAAACGCCATTGTCCATTTGTTTGTATGAGCCTGGGCACACAAGTGCCACCTCTATATATATACACACATATGTATATATATGTATATATGTGCGTGAAATCATACGTGCATGCATGCATACGCATATACATACGTATACACACACCCACACACAAACCGACCGACCTACCTACATACATACATACATACATGCATACACGCACACATACATATAGACGTAAACGCGCACGCACATGCATAAATACGCACACGCATACATACATACAGACGTAAATACATACATACAGACATACATACGTGCGTACGCCCGTACATACATACACACATACATACATGCGCGTGCGTACGCACATACATACACACATTCATACATACATACATGCACACACACATACACCCAAACATGCACCCATGCACACATACGTATATACAGCCGCACATACGCACATGCCTAACCCAAATATGGCGCAACCTAACATAACATGGCAGAGCACACGAACATAACTCCACGCACGCGCACATGCCGACCCACCTACACATCTACGCACATACACACATACACACACAATTACCCGACCTACCGACCTACCTGCCTGCCCACCTACCTGTCTACATACACATACACACATGCATACATAGACGCACGTTTCCATACATACATACACACATGCACACGCGCACACCTGCATGACTTCACGCATACGTACATACATACACCTTTACGACCACCCTGTGGGTGATAAGGAGGCTGGGGGAAACCCCGCAATGGGCTCGACTGCCGCATTCCGATTCTTGAAACTGAAGGGCACCGCGCGGACGCGTTTGACACCAAAACGCAGCTGAACTTCTGCGCCTCCACTTTTTCGCTCCTCGCAATGCACGTGCAATCAATGACCTTCGGGTCGGGGACCCTCACGTACCACTTGGCGTATTTCGCCGTCTGCGTGTTTATGTTTTTTTCAGCGTCTCCACATTATTGTCGAGCATTTCGGCTGGCAAAGCCAGGCCACTCGTAGCGAAGCCGAAGGAAGTGCGTGACCGATGTGGGCGCGTTCGCGGCCCCTCCGCGTGCCGAGTGCAACAGACGCCTTGAGCCGAAATCCCTGAATGGTAAGAGAGTTGACGGGGGGCGGACCCAACGTCTCACTCAATCGATCTCACAATGGACCCCACCATCGATTTCACAATCGATCTCCCCCGATCGATCACACGATCGATTTCACTCGATCAATACCACTATCGATCTCACTATCGATCCCACTCGATCGACATCACGATCGATCTTTCTATCGCTCTCACAGGCGATGTCGTTACTGTCGATCTCATTATCGATATCACTATCGATATCACGATCGATCTCACTACATATTGCACTATCGATCTCTCGCTATCGATCCCATTCTATCGATGTCACAATCGATCTCACTATCGATCTGACAATCGATCTCACGATTGATCTCACAACCGATCTCACTATCGATCCCACTATCGATCTCACTCGATCGTATCAGAATCGATCATCATCAAAATTATCATCATCACCTCAGCATCATCCTCATCATCAACATCCTCATCATCATCACTGGGACACCATCATCGTCATCAGCATCATCATCAACAACATCAACATCATCGTCAGGACACCATCATCATCATCATCATCATCATCATCATCATCATCATCATCATCATCATCATCATCATCACCAGCATCAACAGCATCATATTCAACCTAATCATCATCATCGGGACACCATCATCATCAGCAGCATCATCATCTCATCATCTCATCATCATCAACATCATCATGATCACCAACATCATCATCATCATCATCATCATCATCGGGACACCATCATCATCAGCAGCAACCTCATCATCATCAACATCATCATCATAACCACCATCACCATCATCGTCATCATCGTCAACATCATCAACATCAGCATCAACATCAACATCATCATCATCATCATCATCATCATCATCATCATCATCATCATCATCATCATCATCATCATCATCATCATCATCATC